AGAAAAACATATATATCCCTATCAATAGCTACGATCAATTTATCAATTCTGCAATATATTAATTCCTCATCCCGGGTCTATACGCTCCTCTGAAAAATCGTGCCGATAATCAAAGAAAGATAAATCCAATAGAATATACGATCTCGCACGTTCATCCTAATCAATCGATATATGATATCACACGTAATCAAAAACGACCCCCCTAATAGATTAAAAAAGATTTTAGACTTCCACCCCCTAAATTGCCCAAGGCGCCACACAAAGACCCGAATTCTCGAGAAAATTTCGCGTACCTCCCCCATCCAACCCGACCTTACCGCTTCATTTATATATCTTGAATTATCTACGCGGCAATGCGAGGACGCGCATATATTTCTATAAATAGATATTATCGAATTATAAATTCATTAATATTTTAATTTTTCCTGCAAAATTTATATGCTCCGACGAGCAGCCGTACAAATAGCCGCTCGCATAAGCGTACAAAATCGCTCCGGAAGCAAGGGCCGCGTGATCAAAAGCACCGAGCCCGCAGAAGATTTTTTTAATAAGAGCCGGTAAATCTAAATCGCGCGCGGTCGGAATAATCCCAAATGACCGCGATATATTTTTAAAATATTATCATATCAAAAAAATCATTCGAAAAATTATTATTAGAATAATGAAATACATAGGAATTCATGAAATTTATTTTTATTTCTATCGAGCGAAATGAAAAATTTAGAAATCTATCTATTTATTTCAGAATCATAGAATCGACAGAATATGAGAAATCGCCAAGCTAGATAAAAAATGATCGAAAAATCATCCAATAATTCTATAGGCCCAAGATCAGCAATCCAAATCGTGAGAACGATGAGAAAAAATACGGAGAGATTGAGAAACCGCCGTCTTTATAGATTGATCATCATTCCCATTCCCGGGTAGAGCACGAAAGGAAGGAGTTCTACGACCAAAAATCTGAAAAATCTTATTCGCCCCTCCCGCCCGAAAAATCGCCTAAAATCTTTAGGATTCTAGAGCCCTTAAGCAGCGTTCTTTGGGAGCCCGCAAGCAGCAGGCATTTATTGCAGAGCCGCTTAAGTTGGGCCCCGCGCGAGCGACGTGGCCGTAATTTTCTAGAGATATAAGTGACGAAACCCTTTGTAGAAACGAGAATTCTCCTTGGCGTGTTGCTGTTTATGCGAACCCGATAGAAAATTTCAAGAATAATTTCCTTATATCTTTTTTTGAATCGGGATAACCAAGTTTAACCAAATGTACGATATAGTAATATCGGATTCCGGAGAAGCCAGCCGTCCGTTAAACCCTACCGCCGCCCAGCAAGACCAATGAAGAACATCTTCCCCATTTTCCAAACGCGCTCCGCAGGCATGAATGCCACATCAAGCTGATCATCTTACCGAATAGAAACTAGTCTCCGTATTTTAATGCACAGCGTGAGCATAAAATGCCCCTTGCCAAATGAAGCTGATCATCTCACTGAACAGCAAAAATTGCTGCATCAAAATGAATTCTCTTCCCAGTTTCTCAGAAGCTGGGTTCCAGAAGCAAACCGGTATCAGTGAGCATCCCCAGTAAGCAGGCTCCTCACCAGATCTCCCATACACGGCTTTCTGCAGCTTCTATACAGCTGCTGCAAATCCATCGTGATGAGATCCCTACCAGATTGCCATGACGGAATGCAAGCTATGCAGAACACAAACGCAAAAAAGTTTGATGAGCCATCTGTCACAGTCAGGGTCCCCTGAAATAGGGAGCCTTCACAGCCCCAACTCTGCCAGTTGGCAATCCCCTTCTCTGTGCTATGAACGCTGCTAGGCCCCGAACTGCAAACTAAAAAAGCTGAAGCAAACATATTCACTGACTGTCTCTGTGGTAGGGAAGGGGAACATGCACATTCTTGCCGCTGTGCGAATTAGCCAGCGAACGTCGCTGCTCATCCAAATCGCTCGTAGTGCACCAAGTACTTCCTTCATTTCGGGAGGCACTCCATCAACTTTTTTCAACAAATCATAGCTTGAAGAAGAACCGAGGCACTTGAACCTAGAACAACAAGGCTAGACGTCAACCCCATTCCCAAACCTTCACCCCCACAACTTGGGCAAAAGCCCGGCTCTGCCTAAGCCCCGTAAGCTAACAGAACCAGCTTCTGGAGAGGCCCCTTGCTCTGGCGCCTTCGCTCCAATGACTCCTTTCAGATTTCAACTGCTCATGGTTTGGGGCTCAGGCATGTCTGCCTTCAGATCAGGCAAGATGTTTCAGGGGCAGCAGGTGGAGCTTCTGGCGAAACCTGAACCACACCTACAATGATTATCTTTGCTTGTCTTGAGAAGCTGGCCTCAGGCGAAAGGCTTGGGATTGGTGCACCGTATGGGATGCCATCCCATTGCGTTTTGGAGACGCAGAGCATGCTGCGCAGAACCAACCAGGCCCAAAAACAGCGTCTAGCTACATGATATATCATGACATGAGGGCCTCCTCTTTGATGTTAACTTACACCCCAATAATGGAGAATCAAATGGAACAGAAAACGGAAAACGAAATGGAAACTGGGTTTATAGGGTGGTGTTATACAGAGGTATAATATAGGGGTTGCCCGTAAGGACCCAAAATTCCCAGGTGGACCCCACCTGCGCGCAGCTATCACAAACGGACTGCAAGTCATGGACTAAGCCGTCGTTGCCACAAACCTGGTTGCTGT